ATCGTCATTTATGTCCTTGACCGCGCATAATATTCACAAAACGGTTGTCCCACGCACTGCTAAAAGATAAAAATGACGATTTTTACAAATATGTCAAATATATTTGTCAGATAAATAAATAAATGACAAAAGTGATAATTAGATTTAGTAGATGATATTTTTTACAATTTTTTCTTTAAAATATATTTAAAATTACAAATTAAATTTATTAACTTCAATATATATACACCATATACCATGTATGACCTACTTAAAATTCTTCCATTTAAAATTTTTCTCAATAAATAACTATTTTTTTTATAAAATCAGTTTATGTTAATAATAAATATATATTTTTATTTGTATTATATAAAAATTTCTGCAAATAATATACATATTACATATATTTTTTAAATATACTTTTTAAAATATTTAAACTTATATTCTATTTTTTTTCAATTATATATTAATTTTTATTTGAAAATATTTTCAACACATCTCAGATAATAATAATAATAATAAAAATAATAATAATAACAATAACGTCATCCAAAAAAAATAAATAATAATAATAATAATAATAATAATAATAATAATAATATAATACACTATCATTAATTTATTAAATTCTATTACTTCAAATATTGTGTCACTATTGAAATGAGTATTTTAATAAAAATGTAAAATGAAATAAGTAGGTGTAAAGGTAAAAAGAATTTATATCTTTTTATTTTATTATTTATCTATAAAATATTAATATTTTAAATTTTTACGTAAAAAAGAAAAAGAAATTGATAGATAGATAAATAGTGGACATGGATTATAAAATTAAAACAATCTTAAGGTGTGTTTGTTTAAGATTGGATTTGATTTTGGGATTTGAGAATAGTACATATTCAAATAAAATATACTATATTTTGCCTTATAAATAAATGTTTGATATATATAATATTTTGAATTAAAAAATAATTTTTTATATAATATATTAAATGAATATAAATATTTAATATACCCCTCCATTCCATAATAAAGTATCTATTTTTTCATTTTAGTCCGTCCCATAACAAAGTATCCATTTTCTTTTTTAGTAATTGTACTATCTACCTAACATTACAAATACCCTTACAACTTACAATATTTTACACAAATATCATTACCTTTATATCACACATACTAATAAGGTCTTTTTAGTCATTTCTACTTTATTCCTACTATATCCCAGTATAATACTAATATTTCTAAAATTACGTGCAAAAAACAAATGAATACTTAGTTTTAGGACGGAGAAAGTAGTAATTTTGCGGGAATAAATTGAAGAATAGTAGAAACTTAATCCAATCTAATTCAAGCACGTATTTTGTAGCCTTTTATTTTATTTATTTTTAAAATTAAATAGTGATCGAATGTGATATTTTATATTAAAAGTACTCCTTCGGTCCTAGTTAATTTGTCCACTATTTTTATTTCCGTCAATTCCACAATATTTGTCTTTTTTTTTAAAAAAAAAAATGATTATACACTTTAATCACACTTTAAAATTCATAATTTTTTATTTTAATTAAAATATTTGGTTATTTTAATATTAATTTATAATTATTTTTATTAAATCAGAGTTATTTTTATTAATATACTTCTAATTACTTATTAAATACGCAATACCTAAAACTCCGTGTCTAAGTTAAACGAGACAAACTAGGTGGAACAGAGGGAGCACTTTCTTCGTCCGCCTCTAAATATTATATTTACTTTTTGCGTCATTATATTTAAAATTAAAAATATCCTTATGTTTGTATAATTTTTTGCATAAATATCATTATATTAGTATTATAAGACACTAATAAAAGTATTTTTGTCATTTTTTTCTTAATTTATATTACGTTGTAATATAATAATTAATATTCAAATATCAATACGCAAAAAATAAATGTGACCTTTAGAGCTGTCAAATAATATACTCTCTCCGTCTCAATATAATAGTTTTGTTTTACCATTTTTGTCCGTCTCAAAACAATAGTATTATTTTCATAAATAATCATATCACCATAAAACTACCTTTACTTTTTCATTTCTATTACACAATTGTCACTGCTTTTTCCAGTAATAAAATCATAAGGGCAAAAAAGTCTTTTATTCATATTTTTTTTATGCATTAACAATATAATATCAATATTCCTTAAATCTCGTATCCAACCCAATTAAGATTATATGTATGGGACGGAGGGAGTATTTTTATGAAACAAATAAAACTATATAATAAAAAGTTAAACAACATAGCAAAAGGTGCGAGACATGCATTTATATTCTCTCCGTCTCACTCACAGATATACTTTTTGGGTTTTATAATAATTTTTTTATTTATTAGTTAGTAAAAGTGGGTAAAATTTTTTAATATTTTTGCTATTTGACTTTATATATAAAATAATTGTACGTGGGTTGCGAATTCTATATTAATCCGCAAAGTCAGCATGGTGCTGATTTGATCGGATCAACATATGTCATACATATAATTAACATATATTTACAGTTAAAGGTAATAATATATTTGTAATTTAAGTAAAAATTAAAAGTATTTTTGTATTGGTGTATAATTACTTTTACTAAAATAGAAAATAAATATTTTTGAGTGAAATAAACAAAAATGGTAAAAAATGTACTTTAAGGTGGGGCGAAAGGAATAATATAATACTCCCTCCGTCCAATAACTATATATCAATTTTTTTTTTCACGAGGTTTTAGAAATATTAGTATTATATTGGAATATAGTATGAATAAAGTAGAAGTGACTAAACTAACCTTATTAGTATTGTGTGATATAAATGTAATGACATTTGTGTAATATATTGTAAGTTGAAAGGGTATTTGTAACGTTAGATAGATAGTATAATTACTAAAAAAGAAAATGGATACTTTGTTATGGGACGAACTAAAATAAAAAAATGAATACTTTGTTATGGGGCGGATGAAATAATATAAATATTCTTATAAATAAGAGTTTGTCCACTTAATATTTTTTTGTGAAACGATTTCTTCATAAATATTATTAAAAACATAAAATATGTACATATTAACGCAATATATACTCAAAAAATAAATATTTACATTAATATTTTTATATTTTTACATAATTCTTCATATTTAATATAAAAAATATATTCACCCGAAAACAAAAAGTGAACAAACCAAAGAAATATTACAAATTATTATATTGGAAATATTTTGTAATATAAAAGGTTTATTTTTTATTTTTTGTAAATATTATTAGGAAATGAGAGAATATCTCAAAAAATATTTTTGTAATATTTTATAATATTGGATTATAATATAATAGATTATAATAGTATTACATATTTTTTAAAGAATATTACGTTATATATTTTTAAAAAATTGTAATATGAATCATACTAAAGTAGGTACTATTGATTTTCAATATCCATAATTATATTATATTTATTCATTTGCGTTTTATTTTTTCATATTTTTAAATAAAAACAAATTTGCTGTGTTTATATATATATATATATATGATTTTAAAAGTTTTAGTACTATTTATAGACTGTATTTTTTTAAAAAAAAAAAATATCAAAAAAATATTTATTTTATCATACTCCCTCTGTCCCATAACAAAGTATCAATTTTTCCATTTTAGTCCGTCCCATAAAAAAGTATTTATTTTTTTTTTTATAACTGTACTGTCTACCTAACATTACAAATACATTTACAACTTACAATATATTATACAAATGTCATTATCTTTATATCATACATACTAATAAGGTTATTTTAGTCATTTTTACTTTATTCCTACTGTATCTCAATATAATACTAATATTTCTAAAATGAAGCAAATGGATATTTACTTGTGGGACGGACCAGAAGTATATTACTTAAATTACTTAAATTATTACTAGTTACAATTTTTTTAAAAAAATTTAAAATTGCAAAACTTTTATATAAAGAGAGTAAGTAATTTTTTTATATGAACCATTTGTTTGAAGACTTCATAAGAAAAAATTCATTTATTAAATTATTTCGAAATTAAATAAAATATTTTAAAATTTATAAATCTACATTTATTTTTAGCCTTTGTACAACCTGTCACGCAACCTAATTAATAAAATTCTCCGAAATAACTTAGGGATAAAATCATCATAATAATTATGATATGTCCTTGTTGTTTTTTATTTTTTTTTAAATTTATCTTTTACCTTTTTTATTATAATAATTTTTTTTATAGAAATATAGCATCAAATTACTGTTCGGATAAAATTTAAAATCGAAAATATAATCATTTTTAGAAAAACATGAGCTTAAATAATATTATATTTAAAATATAATTTTGTATATATATATAATATTATCATAATTATATTTGTTTTGCTGTGATTTGAAATTGATTTAAAATAAAATACTTTCTCCGTCCGAGTTTAGAAATATTAATATTATATTAAAATGTGTTATAATTAAAGTAGAAAATACTAAAATAATTTTATTAGTATTGTGTGATACAAATATAATGAGATTTGTGTAATCTATTGTAAATTGTAAAAATATTTTTAATATTAATAAAAAATACAATTATTAAAAAAAAACAACACAATATTTTATAATATAAAATAATATTTCATCTGTACGTCTCTAAGGTCACATTTACCCTTCCGTATATAACATTAAAAATATCTGTATAATTTTTTATAGAAATATCGTTATAGTAATATTACGAGACACTAATAGAAATATTTTTATTTTTTTTCTTTGATTTGTAATATGCTTTATATAATTATTAATATTTAAAAATTTAGGTACAAATTTTACAGTGGGACAAAAATAGTATATTGAAAATAATATTAGATGAATAATATTGATTTGATTTAAAATTATAAAAAAATCGAATAAAATCGAATTATCTATAAGGAAAACAATGACGGAAGCTAAACGCCGTCGTTTAGAACGATACGGCCTGCTGCACGTGCCGCCCTACTGTATAAGAAGCCACGTCACTCATACGATGACGCCTCAGTTAATCGTCTGCCTCTTCGTCTCTTCTTCTTCTTCTTGTTCTTCTTCTTCTGCGTTCACTTTGTACCGAAAACACAATTGCAGGGAGATTGCTTCAGGGGAGATTTGAGGAGGATTCAACTTCGTTTCTAGATTAGAAGGAATCGGATGGGGGAGGTATTGATTCGCGCTCATTCTACTTGTTTTTGAATCCTTGATTTTCTGATTTATGGATTTATTTATTTATTTTTATATTGGAGTAGGAGAAGAAGAAACCGGCGGAGGAGACGAAACCGGCGGCGGCGGAGGAATCTGCCAAGGCGGAGAAGGCGGCGGGAGATGCGAAGAAAGAGGAGAAGAAATCCGACGAGCCGCAGGAAATCGTTCTCAAGGTGTTCATGCATTGCGAGGCGTGCGCTAGAAAAGTTCACCGCTGCCTTAAAGGCTTCGAAGGTATAATCAGAACTAATCTGGACGAATCACCGCTTGTAGTTCATCCGTTGAGCTATTAATTGAAATGATTTGTTTCCAGTTTTGGTTGTTTCTCAATTTTTTATTTTTTTTTTCTGGTTTTTGGTAAGGCGTTGAGGAAGTGAAAACGGATTGCCGAACAAGTAAGGTTATAGTGAAGGGGGAAAACGCAGATCCGGTGAAGGTTTTGCACCGCGTGCAGAAGAAAAGCCACCGCCAAGTCGAGCTGATATCGCCGATCCCGAAACCGCCGGCGCCGGAGCCGCCGAAGCCGCCGGAAAATGAGGCAACCAAACCAGAGGAGAAAAACGAGGAGGTTTTTGATTTTTCTACATTTTTATTCATTTCGATTTCGATTTCCATTTCCATTTCAATTTCAATTTCATTCTCTTCGAAAACATCGAAAAATCAAATTCACGAAATTCGTGCCGTATGCGTGTTTTTTTACCCATTGTTTCCGCTGCTACAGCCGCAGGTGATTTCAGTGATGCTAGGGGTGTTCATGCATTGCGACGCTTGCGCTCAAGAGATCAAAAGGCGAATTCTGAGAATGAAAGGTAAATTTGATTTTTGCTCTTCGTTTTACAGTACCTAAACCTATCATTGTTGTTGTTGTTCTTCATTTGCTTCTCAAACTGTCGATAAGATTCCTTAATTTTACCATTCCAATCCATACATTCCTTGCATTTGTTGAATCACACTGCTCAGTTTTCAATATTCACCATACATAAGATCTCCGCCATTGAAATGTTCTTAAAAGCTCCATCCTCTTAATTATTTCCACACAATACAGGAGTCGAAAGCGCAGAGCCAGACTTGAAGAACTCCAAGGTAGCCATAAAAGGCGTATTCGATCCGGCAAAGCTCTGCCAGTACGTGTACAAGAGGACCGGGAAGCACGCGACGATCATCAAAGTCGATCCGGACAAGAAGGAGGCAGCAGCAGAGGAGCCAAAGCAGGAGAAGAAAGCCGCCGAGGATGGCGAGAAGGATAAGAACACCAACAAAGGCACTAACAACAATGGCGAACAAGAGAAAAACGAAACTGCCACCGGAAATGCAGAGGCCGATCCAATGGTGATGAAGAATGAGATGATGCTACAAAATCAGTACCCGAATTATGGGCCGGCGATGAACAATTTGCAGATGTATCCGCAGAGGTACGCGCAGGAGATGAACGGATACGGGTACGGGTACCCGCCCCAGATGTTCAGCGATGAGAACCCGAATGCTTGCCGGGTTATGTGAAGAAGATGAAGAAGATGACTGGTAAGTTATGATACTATAATGAAGTAGTAAGTGTGTTCATAAGCATATAATGAATCATATAATGTGGTAAAAAAATTGAGTTCTATGATCGATCTGGAAATGGATAGTTAGATTAAAAAAAAAAAAGTGTCTTGACTTATATTATCATCACATGTTGATGTGAATTTGTGTGTGTGTTATGGAACATGTGGTCCTGTCTTTTCTTGTTATAATTTATAGAGAGAATTTTGTGGGGATTCTTGCTGCTCTGCTATGCTTAAATTATCAAATAATATATGCGTGTATAATAGGGAAAATTGCAAAAAATAATATGTGGCATGTATATTTCATTATCACTTTAATTGTGTATTTATCTTGTTGGCAAAATATAACTCGCTATTTCTATCATTTAACCGCGTGTGATGTGAACGTCACGCGCAGTCGAAAGACAGAAATAACGATTTTTGTAAACATGACAAAAGTGATAACGAGATTTACATGGAGGATATTTTTGGCAATTTTCTCCTGTGTAATATGTGTGTAGTTTGGAATTGCTCTGATAATGGTTTGATTTGGAACCCCATTTTTTGTATTTGGTTTTACTAACTTTCATTTTTCATTTATTTATTTATTTACTTACTGTAAAACGATTGCAAGCTAGGTCCGATAAAACAAATTATATTAAGCGGCAAATCGTGTGAGATATCTGAGGTTTAAATATATTATTTCACGGTCACGAATATATTTTCATACCATTAGGTCATCTCTCATCGCATTTATCTTCCTTTTTTTTTTTTTTTTTTTTTTGTTTTTTGTTTTCGGTACAGATAATTTATATATATATATATATATATATATATGATGTGAGAACAATCTAATATAATGGTTTGTAAACTATATTGGCAAGAGAAGTTACATTAACTGAGTCATGTTTGCCAAGCAAAATCAAGTGGACGTATGAAAGATTTTTTCTTTTGTAAAACTATATAACTTTTGTTTGAGCAAAAATTAATATGCTGTCTCAAAAATTTTATTATTATTATTATTTTATTTTTGGTCTCATTAATTTTATTTTTTTATTAAAACTAGTTCTATATAAAAAAAAATAATTATCTTTTTTGTTCTCATTCAATGGAATTTGTTGATATGTGACCATAACGAAAGATGAAGTGAACACGGCTGCGTTACATAAAATAAAAGACAGCCGTGTTTGTACCGTCACCAACTCTTTTTGTTCAAACACTGTCGTGTTTTTTAGTATATTTATTTTCAACGGTGGGACCAAAATGATGATTTATTTTTTTTTGTATGAAAATCTTTTTAATTGGATAAAAAAAATTTTGAATTGATTAAAACCAATACTGATTTTTTCACTTTTTGTTTCTTTTACTAAAAATACAAAAATATTATCTAAGACAATCCAAAAAGTAAAGTAAATTAGATTTGGATGAGGAAGAGGGGAGTAAATGTATATTTAGACTTAGAAACTATTGTGGATAAAATTAAAATTTTAGGAAGATCTTTTGATTTGGGTTTTAACTTTAAATGTTTATTATTTTGAATATTAAATTTTTTTAATAATTATTTAATATAATATAAATAAGCATTTATATATTCAATATTTTGGGAAAAAACATGAATAATAAATTGTGTATTGTAAATCCACAAACAAACATAGTCTGAAGAAATAATTGACTTTACTCTCTTAAAAAAATATTTTTGATTTTTTAGTAACAATACTATTTTTTTCTTTTTTTTCACTTTACATATACTCCTTCGTGGTATTTTATGAGAGGTGTAATTAGTAAATAATTAAGAATGTATTAGTGAAAATAATTATCCTATAATATAAATAATTATAAATTAAAATTAAGATAACTAATTAGTTTAATTAAAATTTAAAAAATAAAATTTAAAAATTTAAAATGAGATTAAAGTGTGTAATCATTTTCCAAATAAGGAAAGTGACATGGTACGTGGGACGGACAGAAACGGCAACGTGGACATGGTATCTGGGACGGAGGGAGTATATGAAGTGAGTATTTTTATTTGAATTGTATACATTGAAAAGTAGTATTTTTTTTTTTAAGTAAAAATTAATATATTTTTATTGAAAATTGTATATAGTATTTTGTACGAGTAAATATATCCACCAATGTGTTTACTTGTTTTTTTTATATTATTTTTAATAATGATTTAAATGTATTTTTTTTCTATAACGTGAAAACTCGCGGCTGCTGCCCGAAAGTGCACTGGGTAAACTCTCGGCCAAAATTTAAATGTAATTTTTTTTTTTTGATGACATATTTCTTATAAGATAGAAATGTAGATGTGTTCATCCAATTATTTTCTACTAATATGATTTTCGATAAATATTACTATCTCTGTTCGGCTCTAAGTGTCTCATTACTTTTTTGCGTGTTGATCGATGAATATTAATTATTAATATATGAAAACGTAATATAAATTAAGAGAAAATAACTAAAATACGTCTATGAGTGTCTTAAAATACTATTACAATGACATTTGTGCAAATAATTATACAAATATAATGATATTTTTAATATTAAATATAATGACAAAAGGTAAATGAACACTTAGAACTTGACAGATAGAGTATTAAAAAGTCAACTATTCAGTATAAAATATTATTTTTTAACATTATAAATATATTTTTTTACACTTAATATAAAAAATGCAATTATCTAAAAATACAAAACAAATATTACCTCCGTCCGGCTCTAAGGGTTCCATTTACTTTTTGTCATATTGATTTTTGAATATTAATTATTATATCAAAATATAGTACAAATTAATTAATAAAAAAAATGCAAAAAATATTTCAATTAGTGTCTTATAAAAATTTATCCAAATATAAAAATATTTTTAATATTAAGTACAATCAAACAAAAAATAAACGTGACACTTACAGGTGGATCGAGAGGATATATTTTTATAAAGTAAAAAATATACTTCTTTTTTTTTAATCTTTAGTATGATACTTTTAGTATGATATTTTCAAAATATAAAGAGTTATTTCATATAATATTTTAAATAAAAAAAGAATAATTTATTAAAAAAAAAAGTAGTAAAATATGGAGAAAAAGGTGGTCATCTGTTTTATGACTTTGCTTTTATTTTAATTTTTGAAAAAAGTTTTTTAAGGTAAAAATAGTTATTGAATTTATTATTTTATATTAAAAATAATTTTTCATGGAATTAAAATTAAAAAATTAAATTATGAAAAAAAAAAAAAGGCAATACCATTAGTAATTCATGGGAAAAATATCATCAACACAAACACAAAAAATTGTGTACGTGAGAGCTGGTTAGCGTGTTTTTAATTTTTTTCGAAGTAAAATTTTTATTAAAAATATTATTTAAATCAAAATTTAAATTATAATCACAAATTGATTTAAATAAAAATATTGATTTAATATTTTATTTAAATATTATTTAACGTAATATTTTTTTAAAAAAATAATATTCCCTCCGTCTCATTGAAAGATTGTCATTTTCCATTTTCGTTCTTCCCAAAATAAGATTACAATTTTCTAATTTAGTAATTGTACTACTTACATAACATAATCAATACCCTTCCAATCAAAATTTAAATTACAATCACAAATTGATTTAAATAAAAATATTGATTTAATATTTTATTTAAATATTATTTTAACGTAATATTTTTTTAAAAAAATAATACTCCCTCCGTCTCATTGAAAGATTGTCATTTTCCATTTTCATCCGTCCCAAAATAAGATTACAATTTTCTAATTTAGTAATTGTACTACTTACATAACATAATCAATATCCTTCCAATTTACACTATATTACACAAATGTCATTACTTTTATATTACACCATACTAATAGAGGTATTTTTGTCTTTTTCACTACAACCCATTATAATACTAATATTAAAAAATCTACGTGTAAAAAATAAACGGAAACCTTACACCGAGACGAATGAAGCATATTTTTATTAAAAAATGTAACTAAAATTACAAACAAATGTTTGTTTGTAAGTACTTTTTCCAATTTGTAGTGTTTATATAATAATAAAATAAATTTCAAAAATTGATAACCAATGTAATAATTTTGTTATTTATGTCTATCCAACACCAATCCGTGTTTTTCTTTTTTAGTAATTATATTTATTCATATACTTTACATAATATTATAAATTATGCTATTAAAAATAAATGAATTTGAAGGCAAAATTGTCTTTTTATTCTATTGTAAATTACCTATAAAATACTATTCCCTCCGTTCGAGTCAAAATATTTATTTTACTATTGGACCTAAATTTAGGTATATTAGTATTTTATAAATATATAACGTAATAAAGTAGTGTTTATTTATTTTATCTTTGACATTAGTGAGATTAAAAGTGAAAGAACAATAAAAGAAGAGGTATTTTAGTATTGGGTAAACTGTTTTTTTAGTCTCGTAATTGGACCATCTTATCATTTTAGTCAAGTAAATGGAGCATGTCACAAATTAATCCCATAAGTGAAAAATTTCCGCTGTTTTAGTCCTCCAGCGCCGGAGACGCCCGCGTGGCTCGTCGGAGGCCACGTGTCCGCCATGTATCGCTGACTCGGTGGACACGTGAATTTTATTATATTTTTAAAAATTTATTTTTAATTTTATTTGCTTTTTTAATTTTTTAATTTGATCCGATTGAAAAAAAAATTAAAAATTAAAAAAATAAAATAAAATTTACGTGTCCACAAATATCGCTGATCTGGCCTAGTGAACATGTGGATTCCGGCGAGCCACGCGGGCGTCTCTGGCGCCGGAGGACTAAAACAACAAAAATTTTCCATTTATGTAACCAGTTTGCGACATGCTCCACTTATGGGACTAAAAACAGTTTACCATTTAGTATTTAATTGAAAAAATATTTTATTAAAAAAATATAAAATAGAGGATATACTTTTGACTTTGACAGACAAAAATAACAAAATAGATACTTTTGACTTGGACAGAGGAAGTAATATACTCTCTTCGTCTCAACTCAAAGTACCATTTTTATTATTTTCGTCTGTCTCTTTCCAAAGTATCTCTTTTTTATTTTAGTAAAAGTAATCATACACCAAAACCAAAATACCTTTAACTTTTACCTAAATTACAAACATACCGTTACAAATATAATTACTTTTTACATAAAGTCAAATGACAAAAATATCAAAACTTCTTACACACTTTCACTGACTAATAAAATACTACTCCCTCTATCCCTTAACAATCTATCAATTTTTTTTTTCATTTTGATCCGTCATATAACAAAGTATCAATTTTATTTTTTATTAATTGTACTATTTA